TAAGGCCTGGGCGGAGGCAGACTCAGGGAGAACAGTCCCGAGCCCAAGGACAGGGAGGGAGGGCAGGATGGCGGCTGCTGGCCCGCTCGCTCCTAAAACTCTTTACAGAAGTCTGTTGACTATTGCTGCAGCTCCTGCGATTGTTGAGGTTTCATTTCCATGTCATATGTGGTGCTGGCATACCTGTGGCTCTGAGCACTGAGGTGGGATCTTCAGTGCCCTGTATGTCAGTAGGTGATTTGATGAGAAAGGCACAGACCCGGGGCTGCCGCACGCGGGCGCTGTCTGTGCTCAGAGCAGGTTTCACACTCCAGGAAAATGAGCACGTTTCTCTGCTGCTGTTTCTGTTTCTGGAACACAGAGTGTGCCCACGCCAGTCCACTTCATGGGGTTCCTTTTCCCCATAAGAATCCACAATTCTAAAATGCTACAAGCTGATTTACAAAGAAATGAGTGTGCGGCATACGGGATCTGTTAACGTGGAATTTCACCATCAGATTACTGAATGAGAAAATACGCTATGAAAACATCCAGAATAGGGTCTGGCATATCAGGGAATTACTAACCACAGAGGCAGTCAATCATTTCACCAGCGAGATGGGAGACCAGATGTACTCTTGCCTCCTAGATTAAAACCCTAGCAGAATGACACAAATCCAGGAAATATGCTAAAATGAAGGGCAATAAATTCACACCAGAGGAATGAGGGCACGGAAAGCACATAGGAGAGTGCTGTTTTTAATCTTTCGGCAATGACTGTCATGGCTTAAAGGAAGAGAAGATATTTATGCAACCTGATCAAATAAAGATCCAACCTTGGTAGTTTAACATTTTATTATCGTACTCACCATAGAAAAAAGAGCTTTTTTTGAGCCTTTTACTGCACAATGAGCAGAGCAGAGCCTGAGACCTTCAGCCCTGTCCCCTTCCCCCTGTGTGGCTGTAGTCTTAGGAAACTAGGCATGTGTGCAGACAGAGAGCTGTGCGAGGAGCTGGCTGGGACAACGGCTATGGCATCTGCAGCCTGAGGTCTGACTCTGAGCTGCGGCACAGGGGTTAGCCTCTGGGGAGCTTTCTCAAATGCCTGCACGTTGGGACCTGCTCTTGAAAATGAGCACAGTCACACAGACATGACTGCATTGCTGCATCAGAACTTACCTACCCTAATGTCCCCAATTCCATAGGGCACATAGCCACAGGCCGATTGCTGTGTACTTTTGGATACTAGACCTTTCTCTCTGCTGACAGGTAAGGAAGGACTCTGAGATCTGCCTCTCCTCTGTATCCACCTCTGGATTCCTGCACATTTAACTTATCTTTTTCTGTGCGTGGTGAGGATACTTAAGATCTAATCTCAAGTAGACAAAACATAATAAGTGTCATTGCTGTGCTGTCCATTAGGTCTCCAGCACTTACTCATCTTACGGCACCCTTGACCAGCGCCCCTCTCCCTGCATCCTGACCTGGCCCTGGGAAGCCCCCTCTACTCTGTTTCTATGAGTTTGATTTTTTTCTTAGATTCCCCATGGAAGTGACGTCCTGCAGTACGTGGCTTTCTGTGTCCGGCATCTCTCCTCAGGGTAACATCCTCCAGGTTAGCCTTGTTGCAAAGGCAGGATTCTCTCCTTTTTTAAAAAGCTGAATAATATCCCATGCATGTGTATCTATCATCTGTTGATCTGTATGTCCCGCATTTTCTGCATCCATTTGTTAATAAACGGACAGTTGGGTTATTTCCATATCTTGGCTATTGTGAATAATGTTTCAATGGGTATGGTAGTGAAGGTATCTCTTCCGGATATTAATTTTTATTTCCTTTGGATATATATCAAGTATTGGGAGTGCTGGAAGGTCTATTTTTAATTTCTCAAGGCACCTTTGTACTGTTTTCCATCTTGGCTGTACCATTTATATTCCCACCAGCAGTGTGTGTGAGGTGACGGATATAATAACTAGCTTGATCGTGGTGATCATTTCACGATGCACATGTATATCAAAACACCACATTGCATACTATAAGCATGTGCAATATTTATTTGCCAATCATACCTTAATTAAGCTGGAAACAAACAAAAGAAAGTGAGAGCAATAATTTGGAAAAAGGAAATTTAATTCATCATCAAAGGGACACAATGGGATGGAGATGTCAGAGGGGTTGAATAGGAAGTAAGGACGTGGTAAAACATGTCTGCACTTGCAGAGTTTGGGAGAATGATAGCAATCCAGGTTTGCAACAGAGAACAGAACAGGATAATGTGAGAGTGTTGGACTTAATTTTAAAGGGCAGCTGTGTATAAGTAAAGAATATGTATACTACGTTTTTCTTTCTCTTCTTTTTTTTTCCTGGAACTTCTCTGGAGCTTCTGGCGGGGATGGTAATTGATAGACTTCAGCCAAAGCAAGCTAAGAGGGGATCAAGTTAGGACCATCCAGGCAGGGGTGCAGGTGTTTGTGAGCGAGGCCTGGCCTTGCGGTGAAGGAGGTGAGGTGGAAGTGGCAGAACTTGGCATCTTCTTGGCTATCTGGGGAAAGAAGAGCAGGGAGCTTGCAGGACTTGGTTTTGTTGCGTGGGTTTTGAGACTGGGAGGATGATGGGTGCATCGATGGTGGGAAAGCTGAAGGCAGTGAACATCGGTAGTGTGATGAGGGGTTCTTGTTCTGGAATTGAACACAGAGCCTGGGAGAGAGATATAGATACGTCTGCAGTAATCAAAGGATACAGGAGAAGGCCCCAGGAGAATGTGAGGATGTGGGAGTAGAGCCCCCAGGGGAGGTTTCTGGCCAGGTGTGCTTTGCTACACGAGGAGAATTCAGTTGTGGAGGTTGCTCCATTTCATCCCCAACCTGCTGTGCTGCCATTCAATTCTGGCATTAACCGTCTATCAAAGAGCACAGTCTCTAACCAGTGTCCCGTACTCCAGACACCAGCTGTGAGTCTATTAGATTTGATAATTTGCTAGAATGACTTGCAGAATTAAGGAAAGCATGTATTTACAGTTACAGTTTTATTATAAAATATGCAAATCATGAAGACTAGCCAGATGGAGAGACACATAAAATGAGGTCTGGGATGAATGCAGGGCTTCTGTTCCCTCTCCCTGTGCAATCAGGCACATCACCCCCTCAAACACATCCATGTGCTCACTGACTAGAAGGTCCATGGAGCCTCAGTTTCCCATTTTAATTGGAGTTTGATTAATAGGCATAACCCTGTAAATCATTGACACATGATCAAACTCAATCTGTCTCCAGCTCTTTCTCCTCTCCAGAGATTGGGCTGATCTGAAGTTCTAACCCTCTAAGCATAAGCCTTATTATATAGTTTTTGATGCTACCTGCTTGGACCAACTTTTCTTTCCAGAATAGTATATGTGTAGACCAAGTCTGTTTCCTCTGATACATTACATGATAATTCTCTATCTATCTGAAGATATTTTCATACTCCCTCTCACCCCAGTTGTGTTTTATGTGTATATGTATGTATTTTCAGATTAAACACTCCAATATTCTCCTGTGTTCCTCAAGTTACATAATATCTGGAATGTTCTCATTCCTATGTAGAGTCTGGAAGAGCACACAATATTGCAGACATGCTCCCACCATCAACAGCGCACAGTGGGGCACTGCTGCACCTTGACAGGATCTTGTACTTACACTGACCTCGATTAGCCTTTGCACATCCCCTGTTAGGGTTGGTTGATATTGGGCTCTTCTCTAGTGAAACATTGGCTGCAGGTCAACACCTTAGCTAGGAAGGAGGGCATCTGGCAGACACTAGGAAGAGTGGAGCTAGAAGTTGAACTCATGAAGAGAAAGACAGGAGAAAGGCTGGTTGGTGCTATTGGTTCAGACAAGCAAGGGGTCAAGACCACACAATTTAGCAAGTGATGACTGTGTGTAAGTCAGTAGCTAAGAAATGACACAGCAGGTATCATGCCTACGTGGTGAGAGCCTAGAACAGAACATGAAGACAGTATTGACTTACAATTAAAGAAATTGTTCTGAAAAACTATATAGGAGACTCTGAACAAATCCCTCCTGCTGTTCTATCTGCTCTGAGCCAGAGCTCCCCTCAAGGCTTGGCTGAGCCTGGCATAGTTGAAGAAGAGAACAGGTGACAAGGCACAGAGGTCCAAATGCCTGGTGGCAAAATTGTGGGTATTTTGGAATACTGTCATCTTTTCCAATGCTGTACCTTTTAATTTATTTATGCCTACTTATGCCCCATGGTGTTTCCGTAAGTCTTTAATGTGCTCTCCTAAGGGAAGGCAAAATACAGATGAAAGGATAAATTAAAAGTGAGCCCACAAAAGAAGAAGAAAAACCTTGAAGTGGCAACATGAAAAGCAGTGAGGGTGTTGTGCTTCTGTGATTGCTCCATGTACAAACCCCATATCGGGCTCAAAACTTCTCAAACAAGCAAATGCAAAAAGGAATACTGATTACTCTCATGGTGCATAATGCCTTCAAGAAAAACTCAAACCAGTTTCGTTCCTGGAGTGCTTCTTAATGAAACATTGACAGGAATTTTCTGGGGGAAAGGACACTGCACTGTGTGATGTTACGACCAATCCCCATAATAAAATCCTCTTGATGGACCCTTTGGTGGCAGTTTCTCCATCTTGGCTACTGGCATGACATGAATGCACAAGCAAGAAAACACACAAAACAATTCCAAAAGCAAAGTTGTTCAATGAAATGGTCCAGCTTTCTATCTGTCTAAAGCTAGCTTGACCTACAAGCAAATTCTTGAATGTTGATATAAGTTTTTACTAAATAATCTCCGTTACAAAATGTCACTTTAATTTAAATCTGTTTCCTCACTGCAAACATATGGATAATATGTTACTTAGGCCACAGGGATAATTTCAAGAATGAGGCCTGGGCAGATCAAATGGGAAGTGTCTTGTGGGCACAGGGAGTCTGCATGGTTTGGGGAGGGCTGGGATTCACCATGCAGGAGCAGGCTGGAGGCTCACTTTTCAACTTGTCTTTCACAGGAATAACACTCTACAGCCACCCATATGGAGGGGCCTTGCTGAATGAGGACAAGATGTGAGTTGACGAGAGTACTGGGGATGTGACCCCAACAGTGGAAGAGTATCTTTGGGTTACTGCGGGATGATTTTGATTTCTGTCCAACATTTTCCCAAAGAGACCTTGGCCTCCATAGCTATTGGCACAGGGCTTGAGAATTTTTTTTACAAAATGTGAGAAAAATTATTTTTGGAAGAAGAAGTTTATTGACTGAGCATAAAACAGATAAGCATATCTTGCAGCTGTAATAAATTGTCCTAAGGGAAGGATTTTCCAGAATCTTATGGGACTGAATATCTTCATGACCATTTTGGGGGGTTAAAATCATAAACACAGAAAAATTAAAAAGAATTGTAAGCCCAGGATACATACAGGCAACCCTAGTGATGCCTCCTTGAACATTCTACCTGAAAAATTTTCCGAATGGCCCAAAGGGAGTTGCGGTGGCGATAAAGCCCGTGCTCTCTGGGTCCAGAGTTACCTGCCACTTAGGGCAGCATGTTTCTCCCCTCTTCCGTTTCTTCTACACGTCTCCCTTTTTCTCTTAATGACTGGTAAACTTTTAATTAAAAGTTGATAATAAATCTAAGTCTTACTTAAGTGCTTTTTATGATCTACCAAACTGAGTCAGAGAGTCAATCTGCTTCATGGCATTCTCTCCTTGAGTGGTTATCCCAGCAGGAAGCGAGGGTTATGGTCCTAGTCCTCATAATCACCTGCAGATTTAGGGGGGTTCTGGCTTGGATAGTCTCTTGTACCTGCCCGGAATTCCAAGGTTAGGCATGCTGGCATCTGCGATAGAACAGAAGGCATGGCCCAGGGGAGGGTTTGCAGTGAGAAAGAAGGTGCCTCATGTGCACTTCCTGAAAGGTCCTGTGTGGCCTGTTTCTAAAGAGGCAGCAGAGAGGAGGCCGCGGTTGACTTGAAGGAAGGATCCTAGTGGTATTACTCTGGGTTACAAAAATAACCAAGAAAGTGTGTGGGAAAAAATGCCCAATCTATTTTAAAATCTTTTCAGTATTTCAAGTGACTAAAAGCAGAAATAGGTCAAAGAGGTGTGGGTCTGTGGTCAAGCCCCTCCCTGGCAGGATTCCTAGAGTGCAGAGCAGTCTCAACTTGGGCAAAGGTTGCAGCTAACCGTGGGCACCACTCTGGGGATGCTCTTTCATCTTTCCTGGGGAGTGGCTCCATGGTCACGAGCAGATTTTGACACCAACAGACTTCCAGATGCCCCCACATTGTGCTATGTGGTTATGTCTCCTATAAATTGAGAAGAATAACCCTGTCTCAAAAGGTGTTTGAGGACATTTAATGAGACAGTCCCCACCCTTAGTCAGCATCCCTGGCCAATCAGGTTTTTATTGATAATTAATGGTTTGTACTGCTGTTATCATCACTGATTTTTAATAATGGAAAGAAGACCCATGTTCTCCGTCTGACACCTGATGGGCTGTTCCATTCTGCCCACAGCCTGGAGAGCATTCGCCAGTGTGGTGTCGCCCTCTGCATTGTGCTGGGATTCTCTATCCTGTCTGCAGCGATTGGTAGCTCTGTGGTGAGGGACAGGGTGACTGGAGCCAAGAGACTGCAGCACATAAGTGGACTCGGCCACAGGACGTACTGGGTCACTCACTTCCTCTATGACATGGTAGGATTTGGGAATGAAGGTCTATGTGCCCCCGTACTAGGGACCTATTGAGTGAGGATGTGGAAGGGGGCGGGGGCCTAGGCTGTCTTGGCCTATCTAAAAAAGAAAGGATCGTCTTACTGGTAAGAGCATTTCAGGTTAAGTCTAAGACTGACAGGCCTCAGGCTGGAGATCTGGGAAGACAGGGAACTGTGCAGAAAGGCAAAGTTTCTCATTGAGGAGATGGGGAAGTGGTTAGTTTTAATATGTCTTTTTCAAGGAAGTAGAAGGTGAGGTGGTAAAAATCATTAGAAATGAACTGTCATCTTCATCCCTAACCCCTGTCTGGTGCTCTGATGCTCTGAGCCTCATTCTCTAACATGCATGGTGTGCTTAGCATTTCTTGTGTGTACTCAGTTCCCCAGTGGAAACCCTTCAGATCATTTTCTCCCATCCCTAGGAGGATACTGTCCAGTTATGCCCTATTGTTCAGGACATTTACCTTGGGTCAAAAACTGCACCTTACATAATAGCTTTTCATTGTTCTATAGGAGCATTATCCTTTTTAGGAAAGTGATATATTTGCCATCATAAATATTATTCATCCTATTATATAGAAAAATCTTGCTTAAGTCAACTGAAGGCCAAAAGAGCCCAACATTTACTGCTCAGCTAGCTGCCTTACATTTTGTGCAGAATCTGGCATTTTAGCATGTTATTCTCCTGGAATGTTTATTCCTTTGAGCTGGCTTCAAATTTAGCTAATTTACTTCTTTTGGATCATGTAGTCTGGATTTTGAAAGTTCATTCCACTTGCATGAATCACATTTGAGTTATCACCACATTTCAGGAGTTCATTTAGTTTAATCAGGGTTTTTCCCCAACTTCCCAGGGATCATAATCAACGGAGACATTTAATAACAGTAAGGATCCCACTGAGCCTGTCCTTCAAGATTCTTTTTAGTAAATCTGGGTGGGACATGCAGGTCTGTGTTTTTGTAGGTATCCAAGGTGGAGATGAATCTCAGCCAAGATTTAAAAATGCTGGTCCTCAAGACTCTTCATCTTTACTAAGGGACACTTGAAGGCTGAAGAGAGGAAGTGACTTAAGGTCTTATGTCTAGTTGGTGCAGAAGAGGCATTTCAATGTCCTCCTCTGCCTCCCGCTTCAATTTGCCCCTGGTGACACACACTGCCACTGATCACTCAGTGTACTCTCTTAAGACTGCTATTTAACTATGTCCGGTAACTACAAATTTCTCAGAGAAAAGGAAGTAATTAAGGGAGAATAAAAACATACTAAGGAGCCATATTTCCAAGATACTCTGGAGCATCCAGAATTTCCAAAACCATAGGGTCTTCCCTCTCTCCTATATCCTTATTGTGTTATCTCTGAATCCTTCCCACTAAATGCGGTTCCTCTTCTTTGGGGTTTAAGAGCAGGGAGGGTTATTTCTCCTTGGTTGAGTGGTTCTTCACCTTCCTCCAATCATTTCCTACTTATACCTATTCAATCATTCATTTAACAAATATTTTTGAGAATCTGCTATGGATCATGATTTATCCATGTTATAGAGGGAATATTTGTATTCTCCCTCCTACAAAATTCATATGTTGAGACCTAATCTCCAATGTGAAGGAAGTTGGAGGTGGGACCTTGGAAAATAATTAGGTTGTGAGACTAGAACCCTAATGAGTGGAATTAATATTTTTATAAAAGAAGCCCAGAAAGCTCTGTGTAAGGAAACAGTGAGAAGGCACAGTCTCTGAACCAAGAAGTTAGCCCTCAGTAGATACTGAATCTGCCATTGCCTTGACCTTGGATTTTCCAGCCTCCAGAACTGTGAGCAATAAATTTGTCTTGTTTATAAGCCATCTAGTCTATTCTATTATAACCACCCAAATGAAAGAGGTGTTGGGCATAAAGGTATGAATAAGGCAGAAAATTTCATTCCCTTCATAGAGTTTGTATTCTTATGGGAGAAAGCAGAAAACATTTGAGTAAACCCATACATAAATACAAATGATGCAGGAGGCTCATGACTAGATCTACTGAGAGAATGGAAAACTATGATGGATGGAGTGTGATTTTAACAGGGGTAGTCAAAGAAGAAAGTGAAGGTTAAACTGAGATCTGAGAGGTAAGAAGGAACCAATGCCATGGATGACACTGAGAAAGAACTCTGCATCCAGAGGCTCCAAGAGAAGAGGGAGCAGTGTGTGAGTCCTCCAGGAAGGTCATGGTACTTGTTGGCCCAGGCTCTCACCCCAACATAAGGCTGGGTTGGAAGTCAAGGCTAGGGGCCTGTCCTTGGTTGTACATGTTGCAAGGAGGCCATGTTTCATGGAAGGTATTGGGATTTCTTGACTCTTCCCAAAGGAGTTGAGTATCGGTTAGTATTATTAGTCAGGTCTTGCTACTATAACCAAATAACCATTGATTGGTCAGCTTAACCACAGAAATTTATTCTATAATGGTCCTGGAGGCTGGGAGTCTGAGATGAAAGTACAGGCCAAGTTGTTTTCTTCTGAGACGCCTCTCCTTTCTTATAGACCACTGTCTTCTCCTTGTGTCCTCACATGGTCATCCCTCATCAGAGTCTGTGTCTTCATCCCTTATCTCTTTGATAAGGATGCCAGTCATGTTGGATGAAGGTCTACCCCATGGACCTCATACCGTAACCACTTTTTTTTTTTTTTTTTTTGAGACAGAGCCTCAAGCTGTCCTCCTGGGTAGAGTGCCGTGGCATTACAGCTCACAGCAACCTCCAACTCCTGGGCTCAAGCGAGTCTCCTGCCTCCGCCTCCCAAGTAGCTGGGACCACAGGCGCCCGCCACAACGCCCGGCTGTTTTTTGGTTGCAGCCGTCATTGTTGTTTTGGCGGGTCCGGGCTGGGGATTCGAACCCGCCACCTTAGGTGTACGTGGCTGGCGCCTTAGCCGGTTGAGCTATAGGCGCCGAGCCACCGTAACCACTTTTTAAAGGCCCCTTCTCAAATATAGCCACATTCTGACATACTGGGTGTTTGGGATGGGGAGACACAGCTCAGACAGTAACAGCTACAAAACTCCTACTATGCAAAGTAGGATATATAGTTAGAAGAAGTTGAAAAGCAACTTCAGGGTAAGTAGATGATAATAAATATGACCATCTGATGCAGCAGCTCTCCCTTATTCCTTTTTATTTTCTAGCTCTTTTACTCGGTTTCTGTCTGCCTGTGTGTTGCCGTTATTGCCGCCTTCCAGTTAACAGCTTTCACTTTCCGTGAGAACTTGGCAGCCACAGCCCTCCTGCTGCTACTTTTCGGGTATGTGATGAGAAATGCTGCTGCAGAATTATAGTTTGTTTTCTGAGAGAGAAAACCCTCAGGATGGTTTTGAACCTGCTGCCGGCTTCATGATTTCCTCTCCTTTGAAGCAATTATGTTGGTTCTACAAGGGACGCTGAGCAAACAAGCTTGAACGGGAAGATGAATGCCCCGTGGAGGAAGGAAGGGCTGACTCGGTGGTGATGAAGACGGCGTTGCCCTGTCTCAGACAGGCCCTCAAGCTGTTTGACAAACTTGTGTACTTGGAAATGATTCTCTGTATTCTCACTCTGACATTAATCAGGGGCTTGGATACTTAATCCAGTTAGCTCAGAGGCTGCGCCTGTGGAGACCCTGTCAGGCAGCTCTGCCTGGCACTGTGCCCCTCTCCTATGACATTAGTAGTTTGGAAAATTTTTTTCTAACCTCTATTTTTTTCAGGGGAAAAACTGCAGAAGCAGAAAAGTCATTTTTACAAATTTCTCATTTATGCACACTAACCAGGATCATTGCTTATAGTCTAAAATTATACCTGCCTGGTATCAGGAATATCCGTGTCTTCTTATATGCTAAGCACATGTGTTTATATACAGACTGTATGAGACATAGTTGCTAAGTAGGGAAAATAGTCGACATATAATTTACTATAATCCAAGGCTTTTATTTATTTATTTATTTGAGACCTTGTCTCACTCTGTTGCCCAGGCTAGAGTGCAGTGGCACCATCATAGCTCACTGCAACCTCTAACAACTTGGCTCAAGTGATCCTTTCCACATCAGTCTGCCGAGTAGCTGGAACTATAAATGCACGCTACCATGCACACCTAATTTTTATTATTTTTTAAATTTTTGGCGGAGACACATTCTTACTCTGTTTCCCAGGATGCTCTTGAACTCCTGGTATCAAGTAATCCTCCTGCCTTGGCCTCTAAAAGTGCTGGGATTATAGGTATAAGCCACCATGCCTGGCATTGTTCAAAGCATTTTTTAAAAAAATACAAAACATCCAGTTTTTATTTAATTGAAAGATTACAAATTAATTTATTTTTACGCAGTTTGCACTCATGTCAGTGACCTATAATTATTTAAAACATCTAGTTAGAGGAAAAGTTTTACTCAAACAAATATACGTCATCACTAGAGGAATGGGTAGATGAGTAGGCAGATAGATGGGTGGGTGTGTGGATAGACATATGAAGGACGAGAGAGGAAGAGAGAGATAAGACAGAAAGATGAGCTTTGGGGTAATATTGCTATTACTACTCACTCTGTGGCCTTGGAAATATTAATTATTTGCTCTGAGGCTCAGTTTTTGCCTATAAAACTCTACTTCTGTTGCTGTAAAGATTGAATTAGGGAGTTTATATAGACATTGTGGACAATGGCTGGTACAGAGTTCCATTAGATTGATTTTATCTATTATTGTTACCCTTAGGATGATTTTACTCTTTAGAATATGCTCAATCCTAAACTATAACACATGCTGATAGCAGACACATGTTTGTTATGCTAAACTGGAAATTTATGAGTCTGTATATAAAGATCTCTCTATATGTGCACCTAGCTCTAAAAATACAGTCAGATATAGTTTATTGATGCAATTGAATGGATAATGTCATATCACCTCATAGTTTTGAGTAAAATAGACTTTGCTATAAAATCGTTTTTGAATTTAAGGAGAGTAGATTTTAAAAATTGATATAAAACTTAAACAAAATAAAATGGTTAGAAGCTCCTAAGAAACATGTTTTCAGAATTTTTTTATTAACCTTGTTTTGATTGTAAATCCCCTTAAGAATCTGAAGTAAGCTAAGAATCCTCCCCATATGCATAACTACAACATTTTTCAAAGAATTTCTGGGGAGTCCCAGATCTTTTGAAGCACAGTCATAGGCCTGCAGGGTTATGTGCTTCTGGACGGGAACTCTTAGATTACAGGGACTGAGGAGGTGGGAAAAGGCCCTTTTTATGACCAGGGCTAATTACAGTGAAGAAGAAGAGCTCCAGGGAGGGAGAAGAAGGTCAAGGTGGCATCCAGGGTCCTGGATGAGTGCACATTTAAAGGCAGTTCTTCACTGGCACACAGCTTGTGAAACTGGCCATCCTCAGCATGAGCAGAGGGGCAGTGAGAAACCTCGTCTGAGCACCCGCAGTCTGTGTGTCCCAATGCTCTCCGGGTGAGGATGGCAGAGTGGGCTCACTCCACTAGTCTCCTCAAGGTCCTGTAGATACAGAGAGCCCAAGAACAACTGGTCTCAGGGAGGCTGATCCCCAAATAAGCTGAAACCTAAGAACAGGCATTAAACAGAGCCTCTTACTAGTTTAGAATGTGAAGACATAAGGGAAAGGATAAATAGATTTTCATAAGAGATGGCAAAACAAACATGCCCAGAAACAACTTTATTTTTCTCTCTCTATCAAAGAAAATTTGTTATTTAAACTGTAAAGGGAATAGGGGGGCAAAAAATTAGCATCCAAAAGGGAGAAGTAATACATGAAAATGTCTGAAGAAGATAGTCTACCTTATGTAAAAACATGAAACCTGAAGAACGTATCTGGAGTATATTTAATGCTGTAAGACTGTGGGATGAGGTCATGGGATCCTGCTCTGGGGCCTTGAGAAATTCACAAAATATGGAGAAGGAGCTAATTTTCAAGGAAGAAAATCACCCCTCATAAATTCCAGAATATTGTGAACAATACATCAATCTCCAGCAAATTCTAAAATCACTAACATTATATTTTGCTATGTTTTCATAAAAGAGTGGCGATTATTAAAAGCCACTCTAGATCCTCCCAATATTATGCTCTGTAAGCCAATTTAATTTTTTTCTTGAAAGCATAAAAAAGGGAGACTAGAGCTGCTAATTCGAGTCAACTATTCGAAAGCTAACTAATAAAAATGTAGTAAAAATAGCAATAGAATCTTAGCCAGTTAAAAACCCTGCTAAAAGACTGTTCCTTCATGTAGCAATAGGAACTCCCCAATGGCGTCATTTAGGACCATGGCCCTGATTCATTTTTTCTTAAATAATGCTTTAATCTACTTGTCAAACATTTAAATGATATAACCTGGCATGGAAACCTGATGTACCGAGTAACAAAGTACAGGGTCTGAACAGTCTCAACGGAGGCAGAGACTATGTCGAGTTGGTAATGAGTCCCTCAAGCTGAGACAGCGGGATATGGGGCCACTGCTCTCTTAGATGGGATCATTGGATGCAGGGATGCTGATCAAAGCAGGTAATAATCTTGCTGTGCTTTGAGCCCGGACAGCCACATCATATGCTCTGTGAGGGGCTGCTACCTAACTCCCCTAACTCCCAAATTGCAAAATTTAACAGAGAGAGCTGGTTGAATACCATGTTGTGTAAGGAACAAAGAAAGACATGGTCTTTTGTAGTGGAAGGTCAGACAGACTAACGTGGTTGTCTTCAGCTGTTTCAAGGGCTGCTATGTGGAAAAGAGAAGCTATTTACCATGAGTTGTTCCAGACAGAATTTGAATCAGTAGTTATAAGTTAGAGAGATTTATTTTGTTCACTCTCAGAATGAATTTTACAGCAATTAAAGCCTCCCCCAAATTTGGCTCATAAACTTGTACTACTGCTTATATTTCAGTTGCAAAAATACTTTCCATGCCATGACTTCATCTGCTTCTCCGAGCAGCCTCATGATGGAGGGCAGCACTTGATTTTTGTCCCAGAAGGTCCAGTAAAGGAGACAGGAGGGATGGGGGTGGACAGGAGTATGCAGAGGGTTTGAATCCTCTCTGCAGTTCTTCATTTCAGACGGAGGTGTTGACAATGTAAAGCACTAAGAAGTCATGACTTACCTCTGCGGTAATTATTTTGATTTAATTAGTTTGATTATTTTAAGCAGCAGCTATTTTAGAACAATTGTTTTCCAGCTCTTGACTTCATGGTCTGAAATCATGTTTTTCACACCCTAATTACAAGGCAAGTAGTTACTGAGTGAAGTTTTGAAACACTGAATGATTTTATATATCTTATTATGTATTTTATGTTTTCTAAACCATGAGAATGTATCTCTGAATCCAGGGAAGCGTTCCAATAACACAGATTTCATATGAAAAGGGAAGTGTACTAAAATAATAGCTATCTTGAGGGCTTACTGGATTTTACACTATTTTGAAGTCCCCTAATTTTCAGAACTTGTCAACATATTAAGAAAACTTCATACATTTAGAAGATATGAACGTATCCCAGGTTAAACCTATTCTTCACTGTACGAACCAGTGACACTGTGAGTGTGCAGGGAACAGAACACCTGGGGGGTCTGTATATATGAGAGTCTGATGGGAAGGTTGTGATTTAAAAATCAGTGACTTTCTTGCTGGTATATGTTTGAAATAATCATTCAAAGTGCCAGTTTCCTTTAGTGGGGCGCTGTGGGACTGTGACGGAAAGGAGCTGACTCCCCTAGAAAATTATGCTTCTAGCCAGACCCCTTCTGTCATGTCATTGCTTCTCAAATTTGTCACTCTTTCTCTAAACAAGTATAAAAGCATCTTTCTTTGGGATTTCTTCTGACTTTATTCTCTTATGAAGGTCCCCACATCCCCATATAACTAATCAAATTGGTGTTGAGCTGCCTGGTGTTAATTTGATTTCTAGATCCAGCTAAAGAGCCCACTAAAAATTAAAGAGGGGTTGAGGGGTTTCTGGTGCCTCTGTGCAGGCATCCTCACGGGGTCCTGGAATACATTCCCCCAGGATAAGAAGGGACTAGTCTATTATAAATGTTTCAGTAAATTAAACATGATTTTTCACTTGACTTTCCAGATATGCAACTCTTCCATGGATGTATCTGATTTCCAGAATCTTCTCCAGCTCAGACGTGGCTTTCATCTCCTACATCTCATTAAACTTCATCTTTGGCCTCTGCACCATGCTCATGACCACCATGCCCCGGTTACTGGCCATCATCTCCAAAGCTAAGGTCAGCAGCCTTGCAGCACCGCCTCTGCAGACGGACTAGTAAGAGGCAGCAGCAGCGTCGCTCAGGCCTATCTTGTTGCTTTTCCAATTAGAACTCAATGAAAATGCGCACATATCCACTGACTTTAAGTTCCAGAAAATAAAAATTATCCTAATGAACAAAAAACATCTTATAGAGCTATGCCCAGGTTGGCAACAATTGACAAAAATAGGGTCGCTTCTGCCTCTTTATTGGTAAGGACAGGTCCACAAAGACATCCCCTGCCACATCCTGAGTGTCTTCATTAGAGACTATTTGTTGATGAATTGCTGTTTTAAGGTAGAAGAGGGAATTCAGGAAAGCGTCACTGTAGTCGGGGTCAGACGCTGCAAGGTAGGTAAGGCCACAGCTGTTGTCCACACTTTCAGGCCATAGTGTGTCTGAAAGACAATCTGGGGAATTCTTCTCTCTGAGATCTCTGGATCAAATTAGGTTTTGCTACTTTCCAAGTGTCAAAGCCAAGGTTGGCCCTGAGCATAGGCTCCCTGATCAGGAAGCATTTCTCTCTGGGAGGAAAATGCCTCTCCCAAAGAATTCCCATCTCCAATAGGCCATTCTCATTGGCAAGTCATTTGGGGAGTATCATCCCCAGCAAGTCTAGGTCAGACACATCTTGTTTGTCCCGACCATGCTCTTTCCACCCACATCTTCTCCCTAGCGAGGCTCACCTGGGTCCTGACCTACACTGGCACCCATCCTTCAGCCCCTGGGCATGCCCTGTGCAACCTGGTGGCATGGACTTCAGAGTCTGCCCTTTCCTCTCCCCACATTCCAATCCTTTTTATTTCTCTTTTCTTTTCTCAGTTCTGACCACACTGTTCTCTCTTGACTGTGCTGTTTACATGGACTCTGATTCCTCAGTAGTTTCTAGATTTTTGATTTGGGAGCTGAGAAAATAACCCTGACAAAGTCCTCATCTCCCAGTCCAGAAGAATGTGTGCTGGCTTGTTTCATATGAGACAGGGAATGCCATCTGCCTATTTGGGACAAGCCCACCTCCTCATGGCTGAACTTTCAGAGACTGAGGCTATCCATTGATGCCTAATATTAGCTTTTATTATTGTGCCTCGTGTTTGGATAGAAGCAGTGAAGTGTGTAAACATCTATTATGCATTTAATGAAGGTAATAATCTATTTTGGTGCTTTTTACAAATTTAATATTGACACTAATCTGTATTAATATGTCTAGCCTTTAAGTAGAAAACTTGCAGAACAATCAATTGGGTTTAGCTTGAAGAGAAAATTGAAATGAGCAGAGGCAGAGTATACAATATTCCCCCAGTCAGATTACTAATGTGATATGGACTGTCAGGGTGTGGGTCATGAGCTACCGTGAAACAGAAAACAATCTCAAGGTAGACAGTCCTAATGGTGAGAAATTCGGAAGGAAAGGACTCTTCTAGTTTATGGGGTCACCAAAGGGAGTTAGCTCCAAAAGGAAAGGCAAGCAGAATTGTTCAGATCTAAAGAGGAAGCTCAGCAGAAACCTTTCTGTCCATGAGACTCTAACTGCGGTGGGTGGAAAGGCATTGTCACCTTCAATTATAAATAGGACTGCTTACTTGGAAAAAAGTCAATAGGCAGTGAGTTATTTGCAGAAAAAATGGATCTAAATCAATGGGTAACAATAATAAAAAGCATTTTATTACATTTGCTTAGGTTGTTTATTTTCTTTTGCTCCTTATTTTAATATTGCTTGCTTAAGAAACTCAACATTATTCAAATATTTATTTTAAATGATTTCAAATATTCACTTGTAAGTTATGGAACAATATGTTCTGATAGAATTGATGAAAGAACAAAGATAGATGTCTGGATTCTCATATCAATTTAAACAGTCAGTATAACCAGTATTAACCATCATGTACACAAGCTATAGTGTTAACTTGATCATTTTTATTTTTACTAAATCACAGTTTATATGATGATGCATTTCGGGTTCTAATGCAAGATTTGAAACATGTATCTCTCCTCCTGACAAAGCTCTCTGTTGGGGTAATGGGGGTGCAGATAGAGGAAAACTCATGTTTTCTGGTTTATTTATCTGTGCGCTGATCACTTCCTCAATCTCCACATATCCTGAATAGAGCACTCAGGAATTGTTATTCTGGGAGTTGGTGCAGCTGCACCCCCCTCGTCTGCTTGGATTATTCATTTATTCAGTGTCGATGTACTGCCAACACCTTTGTTCATACGCATATAGAGACCATTGTGAGTTCTTTAAAATTGGATATAAATCATCTCCATTAGTCTGCCATTTCCTTAATTATCAGTTTCTGAGTTAAAAGCTGCAATCCTCTGTTTCTATACTGTCACTAGTAATAGACAGTCTTTTGGTGTGGTATGTTAATTGTTCCAGGGACATAGCTCTATGAACAGTGGGATTAATTAGCTCCTTTAGGACTGACTGAAATTTATAACTAATGGCGGTTAGTCAAGAAGAAACAGGGAGAAAATTAAATGGAGCTTTTGTACTTTTCCTATGTCTCTATGCATATGTCAATAAACCATAATATAACAATAAATGCCCTGAAAAATTGTTATTGAATCTTCTACTTTCCCCAAACCACATTATTTAAGCCTACATTTATCCTAGTCAAGTTAGAAGTTCGCATTTTAAGGGAAAACTGGATGTTATATAATATGAACTATATAACTGGCAGTTCTGTAAGTTTATTCCTTAGTGCTTATGATAGAGCACATCCATTATTGTATGTTATAGGTAAATATTATGATGATTTTGTTCCCTTTTAAAATATTACTTTTTATATTTAAATCAATTACTGAATTTGAACAGAAGGAGAGAAAGACTATAAAACACAAATCTAGGTCTCCATTATATCTCCACAACTTTATTTGGTAGCTGTAGTTAAGTGACCTTTCTGGGTTAAAAACTTTCAACCAGAAAGAGCTGGACACAGTGGTTTATGCCTGTAATCCTAGCAATCTGGGAGGCTGAAGCAGGTGGATTGCTTGAGCTCATGAGTTCAAGACCAGCCTGAGCAAGAGCAAGACCCTACCCTATATCTAAAAAATAGCTGGGTGTTGTGGCAGGCACCTGTAGTTCCAGCTACTCGGGTGGCCAAAGCAAGTGACTTGCTTGAGCCCAGGAGTTTGAGGTTGCTGTGAGCAATGATGCCACGGCACTCTACCTAGGGTGACAAAGTGAAACTCTGTCACAAACAAACTAACAAACAAAAACTTTTAAGTTATGCTTAAAATAAAAGTCAGTTCAATAGACCAGCATTTTGGTAATTTTTATTCAAAGGTTACAGCTCTTGGTCAGGTCAAAAGATCTTATTCTTTGGATTAGAAAAGTCAGGATGAAGTCCCAGCCCTTTCACACTGTGATTGGGGCACCTTTGTCACCCCTTGAGAGCATGCTTTCCCATTGGTCACCTCATCCGCTTGAGAGCATGCTTTCCCATTGGTCACCTCATCCGCTTGAGAGCATGCTTTCCCATTG